TGCTACCTTTAATGCACATATCAACAGTTTACTTGCATTTAAGGACAGAGCCTGCTGCAAGCTATGACTCTGACTACTTAAAGGACTGTCATCTTAGAAAGGGTCTGTGTTAAGCAAGGCTATTATTTGAAGTAAACAAGTGCCTGAAAGGAAGGCACACTGAAGTTGAAGTAAAAACAAAGCCTGCACTTCACTGTTTTTTTTAAAAAGAAATTTTTAAAAGCCTTTGCCACAGACAAAACCACACAGCTATTTTCTCACAGCTGTAATTACAGCTTGCTGTCGCACTAGCTGAACCATCTCGTCTTGCTGAAGGAGAAATATTAGAAAACCTATATTGTACCTAGTGCTTTTATGCTCCATTTTTATTCTTATCGCTGAAGTCGTCTGACCTGTGAGGACTCCTGCTCAAATGCTGCTGTATTTCTTAATGCAAGGTAAAATAGAAACCTTGATAATTTCAATGATGAAACTAAACAGCATTCTATTTATACAGTTTAAACTGCATCAACCACGGCTTCAATGATACAATTTTGTGCAGCAGAAAATGTTGCAGCAGTGCCACAGCTTCCTAAGTCTATGTTTTCTACCTAACTCAAAATGCAGGCATACACTCCTTCAGCAGGTGTTTTCAAACACTTTCAGTAAATAGAGGCAATTTCGTGTTGCTAATATGTATCATCAGCAAGTTTCATACCAACTTCTTCCTGAAATTGGGGAAAAGGATACAGTACCGGGTTCTGCACTGAAGACAGTTGGGGCTGTGGGTCCAGATGGGCTATTTGTTGTGCCTACTCGCCGGTACAGCAAGTGGATCAGAAAGACTGATAAAACACCAGAAGCGAGGCTTATTGTCTTTGACTGCAAATGAACTGGGATTTCACTCACTGGGACTGAAGCAAAACATCTTTCAAAACTTTTCTGAAACTTACCATAGTCTGGCTTTATGACCACTACAAAACCTAACTCACTCTAGTTACAAGGAAGAAACTCTAAAGATGCAGTTATCACTGGGTTTATGTTTGCTGTTGGAGTGCAAAAAGACAGTAACTTTCTTCAAAATTTCAGGACTCAGCAAAACACTGTTGTTTCAGTAACTGTTCTACAAAAGATTAGATACACAAAAGAAAGACAGAAGTTTTCCACCGTGAAATGGAAAAAGCTCACACTGGTTTGCACCTGGCAGGAAAACACACACATATTATCACAATCTGGAGGTACTGTGTTTTGCCAGATGCCATTTGTGTGCTCATTACCAAAAAGCTCCAGGGTATTCCAAGGCTTGCAGAAAGATCATATTTTGGTTCCATGTTCAGAAGAGAGGGCTTGTTGCTGGTTTTACTTTTTATCATAGACGTCATTTTTTCTGCATAGTGGAGATCTGAAAAATCTCTGAGCATATGGGGATTTAAAATTTATCTTCATGTAATTTGTGAAGTCAGGACTATTTTCTGATGCAGATGGGAGCTAGAAGGGGTTACAAAAGACTATTGAAATCTAGCATTTGTATCTCAACAAGGAACAAAAACATCTGTTCTTTGTTGGCCAAGACACAGTCAATAAACATTATTATTAGGTAAGCATCCTATTGTGCCTGTCAACATACATGTCAATCTCTGCATCAGTTAAGATTCTAAAACCAACAGCAGGGAAAGAATTAATTTTTAAGAAGCGTGGGCCAAAATAACATTTATGCCTGTCAACCACCACCACAATCTCGCATAATTTTTTTACTCAGACTTAAAGCAAAAGCACCCAGCAAGCTTAAAAAAATTTAGAAACACTTCTATATTGTCAGCATGTCAAATTTTGCTCAAACAGAACCTTTAGTTAAAAAAATAATAAAGATGAGGTTTTGCTGCATAAAGCTGAAGGGAAATTTATGGGACTAAGCTTCTGCAAGTTCTGTAAGTCTCTTCAGCATACACAATCTGTTCCCAGCAGATTATTCAACCCCAGAAGGTAAAGGCCTAAGTGAATATTCACAGATACCCTTGGGTATTCTGGATCTGCAGAGGTTACAAGACCTTTGACTGTTTAACAAAAGAAGAGCACTAGCAATAAACCACCACAAAGGTTCTTTTGTGAGATTAGGATCACTTACCTCAATTCAGTCCTCTATGTGACACAGGAAAGTACATCAGAAAATGAGTTACTTTTCAGTACAGAGCAGGGCACTATAAAAGCAGCTTTTACATTTATTTCAAGATCTCAGGGTTTCTTCTGACACCACAGCAGAATGAAGCTTGAAAGAGGCTCTTTATACAGTCATTTGTCAGTCCAGGTGGCCTGGCCATGCAATGATTCTGCAACATTTTTTCTCAGGCTGCCCCTTCCTTGTCCTTTAACATTTCAATTCACACTGGAGGCTCAATGACACAGCACTTCCCTACCGTTGCTTCCCCAGTTGAGACCTCTGCTTTTGGAATTTAACCCATTTGAAAAAGTACACTGCTGCAGTAGCTTTTGCTTTCTCGTTTCTCTAAGGAGCACTGTGTTCCTTAATGTAGTACTTTGGGCAAAGCAAGGATGTACTATCAACTAAGTAATTCTATTATCTCAACATCTTCCTGAATGAAATGAACCCCAGTAACAGCTGGCATATACTGGGGACACTAAACTTCAAACTCATGCCTGTGACTGTTTTACAGGAAGGCAAAAACCTCTTTCTAAGCTATTTGTTCCAGATAGCAGCATTTACCCAGGAAGCAGGAAATGTAAATTCTAGGATCCCATTGACCAGCTGGGGTTTGATCTCTAAGGACCTGGATCAAAGTTCAAAGAGTTCAAAACCAAAACTCTTCTGCTGGAGCTGGGTCACTATGAACAGGGAAGGCAGGATCAGAGGGCTAGGAAGAAAACAAACAAACAAACAACACTCCCCCACCCCCAAAGCAACTAACCCTCTCTCTATACACAGCAATAAGGTTTAGTAGCTCTTGTTTTAGCAAACTTGAATCTCCATGACACTGCTTTAGATAATTCCAAGGATTTCAGATGCTTGAGGCCAGATATAGTCCTTCAGGGTCTGTTCCTAAAATCTAGTTATTTAGGGGAAATTCAGATAGTTTGAAGATATCCCTAAATTACCTCTTTTTGTCCTATAGGAAATGAACCAAAGCCATAAAAGTGCACTCCAAACTGCTTCCACTAGCAACTACAGAGACTAGGACACTGGAGTCATCACTTCTGAGTTTTAGAGCAAGGAATACCTTCTCACACACAGCATTCACGGTTTTGGGAGATTTTGAGCAGAAGTCTTGAAACTATGGACTCTTCCAGTGCAAGAGCTGCTGACACATTGTGATACTGGCACTGGTGGCTTTTCACTGACTCAGGGAATAAAATATTTCCCTCTTTAAGTGCCCAAGGTCAGGAATAGTTCTTTCCCTCCCAGTGCACACTTCCTTTATGAAAAATACCCGTTCTCCCTCTGGGGCAGGTTTTCATAGTTCCACCACTTCTCCTTCCTCTTCTTGCACAGGTGTAAAGAAAAGGATACTTGAGAAGCATCTATCCAGGGGAACAGAGGTGGTTCTCCCAGAAGACAAAGCTGGCATTTTCTGTCACTGGGTGAGGTAAGAGAGTGGAAAGAGCTGCCACAGTGAAAGCAACCTGTCTTTTCCTGATTTTATACTGACAATATATAAGCAGTATTCTATGCTTTTTGCTTAAGAGAACCCCAAGATTTTCTGTCACTGGAGAATAGTATTTCTGATCTGCTTCTCACACCTCATACTCCCTCTGCATACTATTTCCTGGCCTTGCAAGGAAGAACGTCCCACAAGTTTTCCAATCATAGCCTATTGCAAAAGCTCATTAGGTCACTATAGTCAACTACAGTCACAGAAATAATGTGGCTCCCAAAGTACTTGGACAGCAGGGGCAGAGTTCCCATCTGCAGATTAACCACTGGCAGCTATAATACCTTCTAGCTGAGGGGGGTGGTCCCACAGGGGACTCCTGTGCAGGCACAGTGTGCTGGAAACCCAGCATTCATAACTGGCATTTGCACCAGTCATGCTTACAGGGGAAACTAGACACAAAGATCTTACCAAGGATTATGAACTACTGATGAGGATGGACACTACTGTCCCTTACACATGAGCTCTCTGAAAATTTTTGATCAGGAGAGGAAAAAAAAAAATGCAAATCAAACCAAACCAACATGAAAATCACTGTGTTCAGTATGGAATGTGGCTTTTGCATTCCACAATCCTAAAAGCTACTCATCTCATCTGTCAAAAATTAATCTAGACTTCTAGAGTAATTTCAACAGCCTTCATGGACAACAGAGGAAGGTTCATCCAGAGTCCAATTCGTTTACTCGCAGACACGTGTCCAACAGGCAGGATGCACCAGTCTGTGGAGATGGTGTGTTGCTTCCACAAAGTGGTGACCAGACAGCTACCTTGAGATGATACATCCGGCACTTTGACTGCCAAAGTTAGCTGAATATCATGGCCTCACAGAGAAAGCTGGGAATATTGGAATTCCGTTGCATGCATTTATAGTCCTCTTTCTGATGTGGCAATACAAAAAAGCAATTTTGAGTATTAAGAACGCAGACCCAGTGAACGTTTTCAAACCTGATTTGTTTATCTTGCTATTCCTAGGTAGGAACTAACAATAGGTGAAAAAATAAAAAGACTTTTTTTTAGGAAGAGGAGCTATGCAGTACAGATGGAGGCACTGAAAAAAAAAAAATCTGAAAAGCAGAATTTCTTTAAATATTTTTCTGCCAATTATAATGTTGGATGGATAATTCCATGTGTCTGAAGTAAAAGAAGAAACCCAGGGCAAAAAGATGACATGGAGTCTTCTCAAATATTACCTGAAATATTGAAGTGAACAATAACATAATTTCCTTTTGAGATTTTCCTTATCCAAATAAGGATTGTCTGGTCTGGTCTTGACCGGTCCTCTGGACAGAATAATTTCTTAACAAGGACAGTAGAGTGAGAGGGTATCAAAATAGGAAAAAATATAAAATAATCTTTAAATAAAAGTTTAATTCACTCTTACTTTACAGGTTATTTAAAAGCACCTTATCATTTCCCTGTCAGTTCTAAAAAAGATCAACAAGAGACTGGAATGATTTTAGCTGGTAAAATAAAGGAAAACTTGTGAACAAATGGATACAAGCTAAGCGAAAGCACAGTAATATTTTGTACACCACAACTATAATCAGAATCTGGCATTGGTTTATTCAAATTTTGCTTTCTTGGAAGCAAAGCTTACATGTTCGTAAACATCAAAATAAACATTGCTTAGTTTTACAATTTGCTAAACAAATACTGTCTTACCCTGAAGGGCATATGCAGAGCCATCTATTTGTGTGGCAGTTATCCTGTTGACCTGTGCTTCAATATTTTTTTAAACAATTGGTTCCCTTACGATTGTAATGGTGCTTAAAAATTTCTTCCAATATTGTGCAAGTCATAGGCCAGGCGATTTTGATGTGTGCCCTTCCTTACACAGTTTTTTGATCAGTAACTAATGCAACTGTGAAAAACTATACATATTCAGGAAAATGTTTTGATTTTGGTCCTGTAATTAAAGACCTTCTATAACTGAGTTGTTTACATGGATTTGAATCACAAGCATGTGCACAACAAAACCACTACCAATGTTTCTTGGTCTATGCATAAAAAGTATGTCTTCTACTTACACTAAAACATACAAAAAATAAACTACAAAAATTGTTTACACTTGATTTCAGCAAAAAAAGCTTTCTTCAAGAAAAATGATTCTTCTTTTTTCAGCCATCAAAAAAGGAATGCAAGTAAACAATAAATACATGTGCTTTCTCCATATAGACATATTTACACTTGAGTCTTTGGCTTATGTTTAAGTTTCTTTATAAAGATCTTTACGTGATCCAGCCATCATTGCACATTAAAACAAAATAAGCCAGGTTTCTTTTTTTTACTATATATAATATATATATGCAACACTTGAAACATATAAAGAATGAACCTTACTATCAATCTGCACTGCTATTGTACTTCAACAATGTATCAAAGGAAAAAAAAAAAGAAAAAAAATAATACCGTCTAGGGAATATTGATACATGCAACAGATGGTCTCTCTACTGTAATTGAGAGACGGCTGCATATACAAACACTGAGAAGTCCTAATTTGCGCAGATCTCTTCCGACTCTGGTTTTCATTAAATAGTATTTATGTGGCACTAAATGTCAATCCTGTATACAAGCATAGAAACAGATTGAGTTCTTTTATTAAGATACACAACTTCATAAGAAAAATACTTTGCATTTAAAATTTAAAATCCCTCCCACCCCACCCTCTTCCCCTAAAATCTTTCTTCACAGGATCAAGAACTGTTGTCACAACAGCATATTGAGATTCACGTGTTTGGTGAACTTTGTCACATCCATTCCGACTAAGAGGATTCCAAGTACTCCAGTGCAACATCATAGCAGAAACGATATTGCTCCTTTAAGGTGAAAAAAAAAAAAAAGTTAAATTAAGATTCTAAGGTACTAGCAGCAATATCTACAAACAAGAATAGTCTTTGCTAATAATTACTATGCAATTTTAACTTCAAGCCTGACATACTCAGACTTTCTTTTTTTTTCCTACTACACCAGCATATTACTGGCTCTGATATAAAAACTCACCCTAACCAATGAACTGGAAAAAAAAAACTTGACTGTGAAATGCAATGATTTGCTTCTCTGATTTTTTTTAGCTTCTTGCACTGCTTTATCAAACATGAAAAGTTCTCCTATCAGTCAAAGCATTCTTGCAGTGAAAGACTTGACTCTGATATACTATTTATACTTAAGTTAGCTGATACTGAGCAGTTAACCAGTGCCTGCTGCTCAGACAGCCAGAGAATGGCTAGGGAATACTGAGCTGTGTCACAAAGCTGCCCTGGGCCCACACCCCATTTGTACAGCCCTGTCGACACAACGTCCAAGAGATCAGGTGCACATTTAAAAGAGAAGCTAAAGTTCAGAATACCATCATGTTTGGTATCTCCCCTTAAAAAGGCTGCTGTTCAGAGCTGGTACTGGGGGAGAGGAAGGAGGAAGGTGAGAGGCGAGGGCAAGAAGAAGAAAAAACAAGGAAATTAATACAATCTCTGCTGTCTTTGTGAGCTAATGAAACGAATCTACTTTTGTGATTTATTTTTATTTGCAAAGGAAGCCAGCGTGATCCATTAGCAGGAAGTGGTGGGGATATCTTAAAGGCTTTGTTGCACTGCTCACTTCTGTTATCTGATCATGTTGCTTAATGTAGGGCACATGACAGTGTTATATACTGGTTTTCCTGGTTTGTTTTCTAGCTAACGACTCAACAGCTGCTGCTGCTCAAGAGTTCTGAATAAGAACCCAGACAACAGAAACACATAACCACAGACATTCAGTAACTCCAGATTAAAGCGACCACGGAATTCAGGACTATTTTGAGATGAAATATAAGTTTACAGACCATTTATCAGAAACACATACAATCTACCTTGGCCTCTCTTTACAGTGACACAAGTAATTTTCCATGTGATCTGACCTGTTTCCTTCACAGCAGTGAACCAAAATCTAGGCAGCAATTCAATATATTTTGTCTCAGACATCTATGGCGCAGCAAACTCCAAAGTATTTGCGGCAAAACCAGCAATACCTAGCCCATGCTTCACTGCTGCTATAGAATGCTCTCTTAACTTATTTACCATCTTCTTAATTTATGTGGTGGCAAGGGATGGAAGTAATGCACGATAATCAAGCAAATCATGTCATAGAACCTACTAGATACCAAGCAAACACTGACACCTGGGAAAAAGGGCAATATGGGAAGAGGCAGCTACAGCCATTTTGCTCAATATGCAAGTTCACAAGGTCAGAAGCAATTTTCACTATGCATAAACTGCAAAATGTTTTTAATTTCAATTGGCATCCCTGATTTTTATGCTGTAGGCAGCCATCTGGCTGAAAAGTGACACTGGCTGCTGGCAGTGTGAGAGTCAAATGGCAGAAACTCCCAAACACTGTCTAACCTGCTTTCACAGTTACCTACAGGAAGGAAAAAAATCCACGTGGGAGAATTTTTTTAAGGTCTTTCCACAATGTTTAGCTTTTGTGACTGAAGTGATGACATGGATGGATACGCACTCATACTGTACACATAAAGATTGACCTGAGGGGTGAAGGTTATTTTGATTTCTGGCAACGTACAAACTAATATTTAGTCTTGTGAGTTTGCTCACTCAGGCTCATATTTATATTAGTTTATTGATGATATTGTTTATTATTTAGGTTAATAGTTGGCCTTGACAATCCTAAGGGGCTTTCACAGCCTAAATGATTGTATGATTCTGTATATTCATTGCCAACATACTAGATCCAAGCCTTTCACTTTAAAGTTCTGAGGTATCATTTTGACTACAACAAATCTGAGTGTCAAACATTGCTATTATTCAGTACAGCTTCCAAAGCAGCAGTTGTTATTAAGAAGTAAAATATTCACAACTCCAGCTACTAATCTGGACTTTACAGCTTATTCCTATCAAGAAGAAATGCCTGGTCTTGTAAAATTTCAAGGCAGCTTATGTGAGCACAATACACTGCAACTTTGCTTCAAATAGACCACGTTATATTGGGAGATGAAAGTGCACTCTGTCCACTCAGAATGTTTTCTGGGAAAAGCATAGTACAGCTACAAGAAAAGTAGTGTAAATACTTAGCCTGGACTCCCATGATGCTAACTCATGTGTACTCTCAGGAAATTTCCACCACAGCATGTAACATTTTCCAACCTTTCACCAGGAATCAGACCAGTCTCTGCTCAGTCTACACTACAAGGGGAGCCCAAGACTCAAAACCCACATCCCCTTCTTCTTGTGGCCCAACACCGCTTTGCTGTTTTGTGGGCACAGTACTGAGAATGAAGCTCACACAACAAGTGAACCTCTGGCTCCCCAGTTGTTTACAACAACTCCAATGGGCTGGTGCTTACCGGAGTTTCTACCATGTTGGGCTTACTGTTCCGCAAAGTCTTCACGGCATGGAAAACGTCCACCACGTTCTGCCTTTTTACCATCTCAACCACAATGCCGATGGCACAGAACATCCCACTCCGGCCACCACCATTTCTGCATGCCAAGAAAAGAACTGGTTAAATGTCACTACTGAGTAGGGGAGCATCCAAAACACACTTCCGTTCTCTCACTGTTCAAGCATGAGTGATTCACGAGTCCGACAGTGAAACTAGGCTCTAGTAACCTCCTTGCAGCTCCAGTGAGTTTAGCATGAGAAATTTGTTGTTTCTGCCCTTCCTCTCCCTTGCTTTTGAATTTTAGCCTCACAGTCCACCATGCCACACAGCTATGCTATAGCTTAATTTACACAGGCATTAGAAATAAAAAACTAAGTTCAATAACAAGTACAACATTTTCCATTTAGTTCTGGAAAGACACTCACTTAAATTATCCTATTGTATGAGGATTATCTAGCCAGAGTAATGCCAAGGCATCACTGCTTCAATATCTTGTTGACCCTTGGGGATATTTCTGAACTATTTTAATCTTCATTTCAAAAAAAAAAAAAAGTTAGGTTCTTCTTAAGTTTAAATTAGCTAGAAGGTTGCATGGATAATGAGGAGGGGTGAGCAGAAAGGAGCCACCAATTCCAAACATTTAAACAGAAGCTGTTTTTAAAAGCAAGGAGGACTGTATAATTCAATTCCTAAGTTTCAAACTTCATATTTAAATAAGGTAGGAGAGAGCTTGGTAGGTAGGAGAGAGCTTGGTCATTCTCTGCTTAGAGAGAAAAAGATGCCACCTTTTTGAAACCCCCACGCCAGCTCTCATTTTAAATATCAGGCTCAGATAAGCAGCAGCAGTCATTTACCAACAACAGTTTTAGGGTCACGTACTGTATTATAGAACTTTTCTCAGACTTCAAATATTCATAGTTTTCAGTCTAAAACCCTTAAAATATCATAGGTCTTCTGGAAAAAATGCAACACGCAATATGCAAAAAAGACACAAAAGACCCATTTGGCACTCAGCATCAAATACTTCCTTACTGAAGCTGTACAGAAGAAATTGATCTGTACACATTTTGTATCTGGAAAACATGCTATTATGTACAGAAGGAGACAATAGACATCATGTCCAAAATACTCATTCCCATGGTACCTTGACTTGACACAGACAAGTCTGGAAGCTGATGAAAAGCCAACCTACAGTACCAGTGGCACTTTTTTTCAGTAAGAGAAACAAAGGCACGTGCAAAGGAATGTAGCTGTAAGAATACTGCTTGAGTTTAAAATAAGAACTTATTTATAAGCATTTATTTGAAGAGTATCTATTTGACATTCTCCCAGTTACTCACAGGCAATGGATGATGGTCCGACCCTCTCCTTCTTCACATTCCTCTTGCCATTTTTCAACCTGGAGAATTAACTTCAAAAAGGATCTCTTGGAAGCTGGTACATCTCTGTGAGAAGCCCATCCCAAATACTGGAATTGCTGCACCATCAGATAGCCCTCTTGTGGCTGAGGGAAATGAAAGAGCTTTAGGTCAATGCAGAACCTTCACATCTTGGTTTAGAAAACCAAAACATAAACCTAACGTGAAACATAAATACTTATATTATGCACAGATTCCAGCATGTATATATATTGCATGGTAGGGGTTCCACTAATTTGTATCACTTGAACTCCAGAAGACATCAAAAAAGGAAAAACAAGGGAACTACATTGAAAACAACATCACAGTTTATCAATTCATGGTTTATAAATCAATTCATGTAACCTATCCTGACTTCTTCTCAAAAGACAAATTTCCTAAGTCAAGGAAATGGTCAAGGATTTTTATCTTTAATATCAATAATCAATTAAAAAAACACTGTTAAATTCTTAGACCTACAGAATTGAAGAGACATACCTTTGGCTCCCATACATGAACTGACCCCATTATAAACAACAAGTAATACCGGTGCACAATTATCACTATTTTCCTTGAAGTCTTCCTTTTTTGCCAGACTATGATACTCGTGAGAGCCTTGCTGCCAATCTCTGAGCCTTCCATGTGCTAAATGCTACACAGGGAGAGCTTTGAATAGAATTAGAATGTCACAAGAAAGGCCTCAATAAAGAATAATAATCTATTTCTTGGAGTTGAAGAAGACAAAAATGAGTAGGGATGTGGATTTTAGAAAAGGAGGAACAGAGCAGAGAGATATTTAGAAGCAAGACATTAAGGCAAAAATTCATGTGAGATGATTAAAAAAAAAAAAGAAACATGAAAAGTGAAAAAAAAGAAATTAACTAAAAAAAAAGGAGGAAGTCTCAAAATACAACAAAAAAACTGTTATGGCGTAGTATTTCCTAGTGTGCCTACACCTTAGCTTCCTGTAGTTTCTACACAAGGTATGAAGAGCTGAGAATGTTCTTCCTAGCCCTGAATATAAGCAAGAAAAAAGAATGGATAAAATACTGGCCATACAAAAAAAAACGTACTCTGCACTTTGAAAAATGAAAATGTAACCAAAATTTAAAAAAAAAAAAAAAAAAAAATCATATACACGGTAATCAGTTTTCCTAACAGCTATTCTTCAACATTAATGACATTTAAATGTATACTTAAAGTAGCAGTTGGTGGCATGTAAATTCAGTATTGGATGAAAGGTACAAAGTAGTAATGGTAAGTAAAATAGGGATTGTTGGTTAACTGTACATATAACAGTGGCACAAGGATCTGTAACTCTTCATGTGTAAAGACATAACTGATTTATAGAGGTGAGAGCTAAAGGAGAAGATGCTGCAGGGGCAAACAGAGCTCGAGAAGATGCTGCAAGCGTGCAAAACACCACGGGACAGCAAACAGACAGGATGATTGCAAAGTGTAAAAGAGCTCACAAGAATGCAAGACTGGCACTACTACTGAAGTTGAGAATATGATGAGAAATGTAGGTTGAGGCATGAGGGTGAAGAAGCCTTCAGAGGCAAAGGAGCTTTCAGAGTTTTTTTTCACATCCTGCTTTGCAGGATGCCACAATCCTCCTTGCATGTTGTGGTTCTCACATCTTACACTGAGAAGGTGCTGGCTGCATAACCAGCCTCAGTGCTCCTGTTCCTGATTCACCACAGAAGACACCTTACAGAAGTTACGAATTAAATACCTGTCACTACATGTTCATTACAGGGTTATTTCTTTCACTGTACATAGAACAAACAGAATAGAAAACGATACAAACAAACTTCTCGTGTATCTTCTACTCAGGCAGAACATAACAACAGTCATCCACTGTACTTCTCTCTCTGCTTTATGTGTAGCTATAGAAAGATATTAGAAATCAGTATTAGATAGTGATGCTTGACTGAATCCTTTCTGGGTGACATCTTAATAACATTACTACTCAAAATCAAAAACCACAAGAGCTTAGAGAGCATTAAGAATGACATATTTTTCCGTTACATCATTGTACAAAAATGCTTACTCTTGTTAGATTGCATATCCTGAAAATGCGGTTGATGACGTCGCAGTCCATCGAACACGACATGCATTCCACTTGGATGGGACCGTACCTCAGAATCCCTTCCTCAGGCCAGTACTGCGGGCAGCCCTGCACCAGAGCACACCAGACACGACTAAATGGTAAGTTACAACTTGAATGTTGCCTTATTCCACTGCAGACATCTCACCTAACGCTTCCTGAGCAACTAGTGTCAATTAGTTGCTGTAAAGCAGAGAGTAACTGTGAAGTCATGGCCCTGCTCTGCATTTTGTTTATGTAGTGGATCAAAGTGATTAAAGCATGTGACAGTACATGGAAAACTCGAGCCCCAGACTAACCTGTGCCAAGTCGACTTCATTTAACATCACAAGGGAAGTACAGCCGTAGTCATACACTAATCTCCAGAAATCTTTCACAGTGTTGGGTAAAGGATGCTGTGTGACAATAAAAGCTGCTGGCTGCCTGTAGCTCTGTGAAGGCAAATGATTTTATTAGCACTGGTAGAGGAAGTTCTTAGTGACTTCCACTTCAACACTGCAACAGAAAAAAACATAAATAGAACAGAGGCGCGACATCAATGACACCAGATTTCACCAGAGCTGATGTTAAAAATACATTACCAACTCCAGTAAGAACAAAGAGGTTACTATGCTCAGGTCTGACTTTTACTTTGTTACATGCCAAGCCCTGTTTCGCTTCAGATATGCATGGGGCACTGAAGATGCTCTTCAGGGCTCTGCTGAGCTGAGGCTTGGGCGAATGGGCTCCAGGCTCTTTGTCCAGGAGACTGAGCTGGAAACCTGAGTTGCAGAGAGTGGTGCAGAGTCTCAGAAGGTCACCCTTTCCACAAGCAGTTTACACAGGAGCTCTGTGACTGAACTGGGGACTAAGTTCAATCCCGAATTCTGTTTTAGTGTCACAGTCACTGGGTCACCCCCAGAATTGACCTTCAGGATTACTGGGTCCTGCTTCCAGGAGAAAGCAGAAGTTAAACAGCAAAATACTATTTCCTGTCATGACAATAGATTCCATTTTCTGTATGCTGCATTATACACACCTGCAAATAGGAATTTCCAGCCTTATAATAAGTTAGTTGAAATATAACTAATAGCAGATGGGCTAATTCCCTGCAGCACATGTATTATGAGCAGCAAGCAGAAGAGGAGAGATCAGGAGTTTTTTTCAGACTATTCATAAAAAAGAGTTTTGCAGTGAAAGAATACAGATACGAACTGGCAGGGAAGCACCAACAGGTTAATTTGAGAAACAGTGAGATAGTGAATATTCTTGTAGGTGGACGGGATTGTAAATCACCCGTTTGAATATGAAGTGCTGAGACTGCTGAATGCAACACCGAGGTCCCTGTGTTCAGCACCCATGCTGGTACCAACAGCAATGTGGCTGTTTTTTCACTGAAATAAGTAAAGTAAATTTACCTAGAAGAATGACCTGGTAGGGCAGCTAAACCACTGTATGTAGTATGTAGTATGGAAGCTTGCTTGTTTGAAGGTTAATATGAGGGACCTTCACGTGCAATATATTAACATACAAAGAGCACAGTGTGAGGCCCAGAAGGAAAAAATACAACTCTTTTCACCCTTCTACTTGCTGTAAATTGTTAAGATGATAAATTAATGTCTTTAGCATTGATACTTATTTGACAAAAGAATAAGGAGGAGGCTCACAATTTTTTTTATCTCTGTTTGCTATCTTTTTCTAATGCAGGAAGCCTATTGGGGTAGTAGCAGCTTGTGTCCTAGTTATTAGATCTGCCCAGGGAGCAAAAGAGGAACAACTAATATTGATTCTTCCTTTGTATTTTTAAGAAATAAAACATGTAAAAGCCAATGTTTTTCTAATCCTCCTTCCCCTTAATTTTTGGTCCTTCTTGAGATAAGAGAACGTACTGAGCCTGAGATGATCATGTTTTCAGAAAGAACAGGCAGGAGATCTGCTGTCACACTGGAAAGCAGACACATTCTTGTGGGAACACAGGGACAAATACATTGTGGAAAGGGAGAAGTTTCCACTTCCTTTCTGTTATTGAAAATCTCCTTTTCTTGCCCAGCAGTGGGGTTTACCTCTCTGAATAAATCAGTCTTAAAAAAAATAAAGAAAAGAAAGGGCAAAGAAAAGCTCTTATTACCCAAAGTTTGAATCCTGTACTCATAGACTTGTTATATGCTTTCATTGTAATATATTACTTTTTTTTTTTTTCTGCTGCTTTTTTTCCTTTTATTACTACCATTTCTGTCTTTCCTTACTTGCCTCCAATTGCTTATCCACTAATACACTGCTTGGTTCCTGTCCCTACCTGCCACACACTGTTACAGACTCAGAGTCCTCCTGACATCCAGCTGTTCAGCCTGAGTTGTCTTCCCTTCTCCCCAGCCCACACTCCTCTATGCAGCTGTGTTGGTTGGTCCATACCACATCAATTTTATCAAGGTGCCAAATGTAATTTCAACTGTAATTCTAAACAATTCTGGTTGCTACCAAAATTCTGCTCACTGCTCTAATTCCTTCATTCAGCCCCGGAGACTCCCTAATAGATTGGTCTCACACATGTTACTCCTCTATTTTTCTGGCACAATAGCTAACTGTGAGATTAGGGACTGCATTTTGTTAGCAGTTCAAACGTTTCCTGCACTAGCTCAGGCAGAACTCCAGTGTGAATACATCATTCAGTGCTGATGCTTTCTGTTGCTACTGCCATTTTATTCCAGCATCTCTTCTTGACCCTGCAGTTTCTGACAGCGCTTTATTTTTGAGGAAGGGGAGATGCTCCTGGAAATAAGGCCACTTATTTACTTTACTGTAAAGGTGGCTTTAAGGGCCTAACTTTGGAAATGCTAATGGCAGGCACAGGGAGATATCTGACAGCACATGTGATGAACTGCTTTATTGATCAGACACCTACACAGGTTCACCTTCATTTTTCCCATTAATTCACCTTTTCCCCTGACAATAGTTCTGTCACTCAAGCTTCCACTTTAAAGAGCTGCAACTCAAAATATGAACAATAAAACCCCCAACCTTATCCCCAAACATGTTAAGAAAAGATTTCCATTCTTCCCCTGTCTCTTCTGCCTCAACATATATAGCCTTTTTTATAAAATAGTGATAGTAACCTCATGCTCAGGTAGGTAGCATTTACATCCTGACAAACAGATCGTGACGAGATCTGAGATTTGGAGGGCTGGAGACAAAAGCTTTATATAATGCTGTTGAAGAGGGGGGAGATTTCCAGTGGGTCCCTCACGGATGCAAAAGACTAAAGACAAGAAATCTTCTGAACAATAAACACAAGCTAGTGGTGTTTCTTATCACTTCCCCCTCAGCCCACTCCCCTTCTTCATTAGGCCTGTTTTACCGTGTGCTACAGTAAGAAAGAATTACCCTTTCTCAAAACAGCAAGTGCTCTCTCTCATATTACACAGCTTTTCATGGCACAGTACGCAGACAAAGAAGATAGTCTCTTACGTCCATAAGAGCAGCATTGATGTAGTTGCTGCTCTCCCCATCAATAGTAATTAAGAAAGGCAGACATCTGTCAGGTGGCAGCATATCCATGAAGCGGTTCTTGTCATGGTTCCTTGGCAAACAGGCTATGCTGCAGTCCTCCGCTTGCAGGCGTGGGGTCACAGAATTCAGGGTCTAAGGGAGAGAGGGTGCTCGCTTTAGCACACTGAACCAACACACAGTGGACTCGAGATTTCTCAAGTTTTAATTTAAACTGTTGCAATATGGGAACATGTGAGGCATTGGCGAGAAGACATTAGCAAATAAGAGCTCCTAGCCATTTGATGGATGTGCTGGGGCTTTTCAGGGGGGGTGAAGCTGCAGGTGAAAAAGGCACTCTGTGTACCACTGAACAGATTCCACATGACACCATTCTCTCCGGTAGGAATAAAACAAGGAGGATCCTTCGGAGCCCTAAAGAGCTATGTCTTAGCCATGGGAACGCAAGCCAAAGCTCTCTGTGGTTCCTAGTCAGTGCTTTTTATTCCAGATGGATATTTACTGCAGTTTTATTCAAAGAAGGATATTCCATATTTAAAACAACTTTGCAAAGCACATAAACATGGGGGTTTATTTTGTGGACTAAAAGGAAGGGACCAAATGCAATAAACATGATATGAAAATCATTTCTCTTAAAATAAATCAAATGTATCTAGAGGCAAAAAAATTGTCACATCAAAAGTTAGTGGGAACTGTGAATACCTGAAACTCATCTTTGAGATGTGAAGAGTTTGTCTGAGAGTCTATTCTAATCATATCAAAATAAGCAGCTTTGAATTCGCAGACAGGAATAGCAGTTTCTCCACACAGGCAAGCTTCTAGAATGGCATCATGAATAAAGATGTACTGCTCCTACCAAATTAAGCAAAGAAACCAAAATTATAGCTATTTAAAAACAACAGATCTTTCCTTCTTTTAGGATAAACAGATCTCCTGCACACTGTAAAATTTATTCAAGGTAGTGCCCATCAGTCCATTACATAAAGCTTTAGTACAAATGCAATCTTGTCCTAACTGGGATGCAGTTGACAAGGATGTTTTCTTCAGAACCAATTTAAATTCAGTAAAACGTAGCAGAACAGGCATAACAATTTATTTAACAGAAGGTTTTCAGGTTTTTTTTGTGGTGTTTTTGGGTTTCTGCATATATGGCAGTGACTTGTTTGCTTTACTAATTTAATTTAAAAATAAAAATAGCTTTCAGTCTTACAATACTAGCAGAAAGCATAAATTACTTCAAGCATGGGTAGCGTGGTTATTTGGCAGGCTGCATTCTCCCTATGTGTGTGCAAGGCAGTACACCAATTGTCTGATAGCTGGCTCTAGGCCTGCAATAAATTCAAGTGTGTCCTAACAGGAACAGCATTTCTTTCTGTTTTGGTCTTTTTTTTTTTTCCTGACTGCCTTGAGATTTCAAGTCCTAGACAACTGCATTACTATTTCAATCAAGCCTCATGTGAACTTTTACACAATGAGAGAATTTTTATACCCTGAGAGTAATAGACATAAGTCATGGCTATACAGCGAAGTGTAAGAACAGTGCCAGCCTCACTTAGCTATTGGGGATACCAGTGAGGTTATTAGCAGCACAAACTTTAACGTGTGCCTGTAACAAGAGCTCATGTCCTTCTGGCTTTACGACCTGTGCTGCCTTACCCACATAGCTATTGCCATCACTGTTGTCTAGTTGACCATCACAAGAACTTGCAATTACAGCTCTTTTTTTCTGTGTAAGTATGAATGTCTGAGAGAAGATGGGAGGTAGGAGGCAAAAAGGAGAGAAAAAGAGGAATAGCAGCAGGAGTGTTAATTCACATGCAGGAGCAGATTAAACTGGGACGATTGAAGCATCTGAAGTCACACTGACACACTCTACCCTATGCCATTCCCAAAGGTTAATGGCCTGTAGCAAGGGTACAGTTGATTGGAAACATTTCTTTGTTTAACAGGTTGCAGCATGGAATAAAAACTGCACCAGATTATACTGATATGCCTAGCTGCCAACTGCAGAGATCTGCACATGGCCATAGGTGAAACAGCTTCTCAAGGAGTTGTCCACATTGAAGACAGGAGAGAGAAGTGGCAAACTACTTCAGGTAACCCATCATTATAAATCAATAACCTGTGTTCCTGTGGAAGCTAAGTGATACTCTGGTGGCAGAATGGGAGCTGCTATAACTTCATTACTAAGGGAATGCTTTTTTTCTGTGGAGTTGCTGAAGAAAGACAAAAAGGGTGGAAAAGGAAAAAGGCTTGGAAATTAGGTTAATAAAGCAAACAAAACCAGAGATGAAAAGGGAGAGTGAAATGGAGATAAAGTTCCATAGGTAAGTGGATTTATTAATAAAGTGACTGGAGAAAAGTTTAAAACCAGTGGCAACCTGCTGAAATTCCAAGTTTGGGTTCCGGGACTTGCTGATACCAGCACTGGGAAGAGATATGCCAGAGAGGCCTACTGTAGGGCCTTCCCTAAGAAATTCTCCTTGCTTTAATTTTGTTAGCAAGTTAAGCAGGCACTTGTCTGTGTGAGGTCTGAAAGAGCTGGCACGTTTGCTGCACCATCCTGGCTCTGGGTGCTGTTTGCACTGAGCAATCCTACACAGTGAAGATAACCCCCCCAAGAAGGCCACTGCCTGCTCTTCTCAGAGTAACAGTGAAATTTTGACCTAGCAGGTTTCAGAAAGCATCAGTTGCCTTGACGGTAAAGCGCCGTACCTCTGTCTGTACCATGTTGATGCGACGGGACCGTAAGGCTTTGACACAGTTGTAGATATCCACAACACCTTCTCTTTCTGCCATATCTAACATGATGTCAATCACAATATAACAACCTGTCCGTCCAGCACCAGCACTAAAAAGAATCAGTAAATACAGTTAGGAATAGCCACTTGAAAACACCTACAAACTTTATAAACCCATTGCTGAGCACATTTTCATAAAGTCACTCAGTTCTTTCACCACAAGCACCACCTAATTTTTATCTTCTCTCCTTCTCTTCATAATGTCCTTTAAATGTTTTAGTTGCTCCAAACAACCTTTTCTTATCAGATTTGATCCACAAAAGTACAGAGGGAAAAAAAAAAAAGAGTAGTTTCCTCCTTTTATCATCCAGGCCAATACTTAAAATAAAAAAGTTAGTTAAACTGAAATGTGGAGGATGATTAACCTCATGCTTTTCCAAATATGACAGATCTTGGTTTTATTTAATAAGTCTAAGGATGATTTTTTCATAATGCATTACAAGAAGAAACTCAAGTTGTATGTTTTACCAGCCAAGCTCTAAGCTGCTTAGCAAGCACATTCAACAGTATCCAGAAGAATATCTCTTGATTTATTTTAATTTTATATAAAGCTATGGACAGTTTTTGCACAGTGAATTCTAAAAATCTGCAAAGGCTGAGTACCTTTATCTACAGAATATAATTAGAAATTCGACAGTGCTGAAAGAAAATTCTATTTGTCAGAGGACTGTGTCCTAACAACACAAAACTTGCAAAACTTGCACAGGAGAAACGACCTTCTGTATTTGTTGACATTAACTTCTTTCCAGCTTCCTTGATCTACTTGTTTACTTTGATTTAAATTAATCATCTGTTCAGACATTATATGCAACACCAAGCTACCAAAGCACCTCTATCTACACTTATGCTGTCACAAAATTGTCGTGGAATACCTAAAATGATAGCCCAAAGTATCTTATGATTCATCTGGTGCAGCTTTTGCAGGAAAACTAAAATCTGGCTACTATTCTATTTAGGAAAAGCATACTAGAATCTAGTTATTTCCAAACATTGCTGTAGACAGCCAAATCCTACTGCACTGTGAATAAGGCAATTCAAAAAGGGAACAACAAAAACAAAACACTTCAAAACGATGGATGCTTCACAAGAGACTACTGTTAAATAATCACAGACATAGTCATAGGAAAAAATCAATCTACCTCTTCTATACACACCTGCAATGGACAACAATAGGCCCTGCACTAGGAGGGTTAGATAATTTGACTCTCCGAATAAAGGAAAGCAGGCCAGTGGCATTGTAAGGAACTCCATGATCTGGCCAGCCAGTGAAATGAAACTGTTTTACTTCACGGATTTCATTGTAGCCCCTCTGTAAAAGGCAAAGGGAAAAAAAAAAACAACAACAAAGGTTATGAAATTCAAAGTATTTCATAGATTAGATATTCTCTGACTCAAATAATGATAACACACACAGATAGAATCTACATGCAGTTTTCATCGTTTCACTGATTATTTAAAGCAAAGAACGTATAAAGCTTAAGGATGTCGGGTTTTTTGTTTCATTGTGAAGTTTGTAGTTTTTACTTTTTCCATTAAGTATGCTAGTTTTGCCTCTTGACCTTTTTTTTTGCTAAATAGACTTAGATACCATTTGCATAGGTTTTCAGATGTTTTGCTCATTAAGACAGTGGCCTGCTACATTTACAGGCAAGCATAATGCTTTACCAGGAGACCACAACTGTACGGCATACATTGCACCGAGAGAGTTTGTTCTTTGATTAAAGAGAGATTGACTCACTGGCATTCAGGGCAGAGTGAATGGAGATGAATGACAGGCATGACTCATAACCTGGTACTTGAACTCAGCTCAGAAGTGTGGCTACAGAGAAATGACTGTCAGAGAGGGGAGGGTAGCAGTCAACATTTCTGGGGAAATTTGAAATCCCACAGTGAGGCGTGTGTTTGGGGAGTGCTGATGCAATGCACACTCCCACGGCGAGGTAAGGCTGCCTACACCGTGGAGCTGCTAATCAGATGGAAGGATTTGGTACTGTACAGTAACACACACAAGCACAGCCTCCTCCATACTGCTTGCTACCAAGGAACAGTATTTTGCTGAGCCCTGTCAACATGCGCTCACCCTTCCCAGAGTGAAGGTCCTGACGACGTACTCCGCAAGCGGCTCCATCTCTACACAGGTCACTTTGAAGTCCCCGTAAACTTCTGTGTCATCAGGCCAGTACTTGTAACACTTGACCTAAATACAAAGTTGGATTGCATTTTACACGAAAGGAAAATTAAAGCTTGAGGATATGTTACTGCATATACTGCATTAAATCACATTTATTTCCAAAATGACCATGCACTTACGTGGCTTGTCATGCATGGCTAATGGCTGCTCTGTCAGGTTAAGCACTAAGCTACAAGGAGTTTCCACTGCTTTACACAGCTGTACTTAGACGCCAAATTCCTTTCTAAATGAACATCTTTTTTTTTTTTTTAGTGCTGAGCTATGGGATATATTTCCACTTATGTTAAACTGGGATGCATTTCATATTAGTAATCAAACTCTTGCAAGTAATCCCAGATACTTCATACTACTCCCTGAGGGATGTGTTACTGCTAAACTGCAAATAATTTCCTGATTTCTAGCCACTGACACATTCGCTTACTAGTCTGCTTACTATGTTCATTTGAGTGACAATATACAAATCTCTTTTCCTAAAACATTAATTTTGGATTCAGACAATTTTTCCTTACTCATGAAGGCAACATATCATCAGTCCTCTTCAGAAGTTAGCTTTGGTTTTACTCAATACTGTAACTGCAACAATGTCTGGACTCTTCCCCTTTCCCTCCTCTCAGGGTTGTCCTTCACAAGACTCTCCTACATTCTGCTGACAGCATGTCTTGTCAGCTGACTTCTCTTCGGGCTTGTAGCATTAGAAGAAAAACTGAACAGAAACTTACCCTTCCAACTTCCACTAAATTTGTGACCATCACAACGCAAGCTGATTGCTCCTGCCATATCATTCTCCAGAAGTCATATACAGTCTCATGAACTGGACCTGTAAGAAAAAATTCCAGGCAATACTCTTAAAAAAAACAAAACAAAACAAAAAAAACCAACCAAAATAATAGTCAAAGCAAATGCTAAAAATAAAATCCAGTGCTCTTCAGAGCTGACACACATGAACACACTTGCTCAAAGATGAAAGCTTTGCAAAACCACATCATCATACCATTACACCAGTTTCCAGACTGCATTGTTATTTCTAACCCATGCTGAACCTTCTCAGTTTAACTGAATTACCACTTGAAAGAAACTAATAGCAGGTGTTTCACATAGTGAAATGGCAGAAGTTTCTTGAAAACTACAAGGACACAGCAGTGTGTGACTACATCTATAGCTGTATTTCTAGATTTCAGAATCACAGAATCTGTTTGTTTTACTTTTGTTAAATGTGTAGTATGTTGAGTGTGAGTTTCTTCAGATGTTCACGAGGAGATGTCCACACTGGAGTGAAGGATCAGTCAGGGGGACAGGTGGTACAGATCCTGTGCACTCCCCACCTAGCTGCTGGTAAAGTGTGCAAGCACAGAAGGCACTGAGCCATAAGCTTCCCACCGAAGTTTCCAATTTAAACTAACTTAACCACTTTTCTGTGAAGCAAATGATGAAGAAGCACTTGTCTTTTGTCTCCTGCTCTGCTGCAGAGACAAGACACGCTCAGCTGAGTGACAGAGGCTTTTACCTGGTTACAATCATCTCAAGAAACAGCTCCCTGATCACAGTCCAGCAGTATTATAAATACTGCTGAATATAACACACATCTGAAGTCTCAGCCATATTCCTTTGTATGCCAGATTTAAGGCTGCATACTAAAGCAGCAATAATTTTTTTTGTGTCCTTTATACACTACTATGCTCAATGATTTACATAGTAAAACAAATAAAACAGAAATGTAGACTTTAGTGCCATAGAGAGACCTGTTTAGATGGCACCCAAAAATAAAAAAAAAAAAAATGTGGTCAGAAATTTGAGCATCCTGCTTAAAACCAAGCCTTTAGTTTGCCTTTCCTGTGTGCAGCTACAGCCAACCTAAGGCACAAATAACAAGGTATTTCCAGCCAGCTACCTGATTATACTCACAGATCAAATAATGACACATCTAAATCTAATTATTTTTATTTTAATTCATAGCCTCTGATATTTCAGTTTAATGTTATATTAATCTGTTTGGTGTTCCTCATTGTGAGGTGTTTTATCAGAAATACAAAATGAATAGTTTCCACAGAAATTCAATTTTTCCCTCTAACTCCTCTTTTTATTAGCAGGTTGTTATATGATAAAGATTTCCCTCACTTTTTCCTACAAAGAGGCTTTGTCCTTCTTTAGCCTTACTTCACCCAGATTTTCTGAGATAGTGCTTAATTTATCATTGCTATCTTCACTGTGTGCATTCTGGACTAAATCCTAGACAGTAAAATAATACATTGGAAATGTGATTTCCAGTAAAATAATACATGAGGAAAGAAAAATGCCTGAGGCAGGTTAAAACTCTTCTCTGTCCACATGTCTCTTTTCTCTACTCATCTTCATAATTGCAAATCATAGTAGTGGCTTCTGACTTTATCAGCTGAATTTATCACTAAAAGAGTTGCTCAATAGCTAATTAACATGACAAATTAGTGCAATTTTTGCATTTATTCACATTCCACCTGAATATGCTATGTTAATTTACTCTAACACAAAGACGACAACTCACAGAATTGGCTATGTTTATTTTCATCTACTTCCATTTTACCAAAACACTGTCGGACACCACAGAGAACAATTGTTCAGTTTGATTAATGCTGGTAGATTCTTACCTTGGGTTGCAATGTAGTGACTTGGTCTCTGATATCCCTAAAACAGCAATTTAAATTGGTTTGAGTATCATATTACTAACAAAGAGGGGAAAACAAAAGCATAAGGGTACTACAGAATTCTTATCTCTAGACAACGTTTTCAGAACAAACCAATATTTAAGAACAGCGTGAAGCTCAAAACCTAAAAAAACTGGTTAATACTGAAAACGTCTGAAAGACAACAGACAAATGGGAATAAGAACATCTGACTTGAACAGACATTGTAGTGTACTGGGAAGGAGTAATCTAGATGGGTCCCTTGGGCCTAAAAATTAGTCCTCTATTGACATCATAACCCCAGCCAAATACATAGGTGCATTTATTTAAAATTTAGTAAAAATTCTCCATGCCACTAGATTATCTCAATAGTTGATCTGTGTTCCCAACTTATCCAGTGTGAAAAAATACACACCTTTTGTGTTCTTCTAAATAGGGAATTATTTTAAGGCTCAAAGAGTTTTACACCTGAGCCATAACTAATGGGGAGAGAGCTGGCCACTGTGGTGTGTGCACACAATCAAGGTCCTGCTGCAGTGGAATCTTCTGCAAAATATTTTGTGCTATTCCACAAAGTGTGCATCAGTTATACTGTACATGATACATGCAAGTATATACATATACATATATAGATAGACAGATAACCCTACATGACTAAGGCTTTCCAGTTACCTGGGTGCATGCCAGTGCTAGTGGTCCTGGACAGCATTAATTGTCTGAGCACAAACTACAAGACAAGGAGCTGCAGCTCTTGAGGAAATCGTTCAGAATATACTTTGACCAGCAACACTGGCTACAAAGGAGGAAACTTTAGTACTGCTGGTAGTATATATCCTTTTCCACAGACTGCTTCATTATCCCATCTAGAGCGAAATGAAAGCACCTTCCTCTAGGGGTTATGAAAAACTTCTTAGTAACTTACTCTTGGCTTTACAAGGGACCAAGATGGCATGAAATGACTAAAAAAAAAAATATCCTGGAGTCCTTGATATCAAGCTCCAACTTCACATTAGGAAAGTGGAACCTGTGCTACACTGTTCTACACTCAGTAATGCCTTCCAGAAGGTAAAAGTATCACTTCAAAATTGCAAAGTGCCAGCTTTAACTTGTTTTTTTCCTGTCTGATTATAATGAGATTCAATTTACTCCTAAACAAGAGAAACAACATCCTCCATGAAGTGGAATTATTGCAAATCTGAGAGAGTTTTCTTGTTTAAGGCCCCAGGCGAAATATCACAGGCCTAACACTTCACAGAGATTGCCATGTTAAAACACAAAAAAAACCCTAAACCCTGGAGCTAAATCTTTATATCCTGAAAAGTCAAGAGGGTCTTAAATAATTTATCAACTCACAGTGGACAGAAGAAATAAGTAAGGTACCATTATAAAGGAAAGTATCCAAAGCCATGTATTTTAAAAGCACTTGTACTAGGTATTTAAATATGTTTCAAATTACTCCGGAATTACTTTTAATACAACTTCTTTATTCCTGGGGCATTCATTAGACAAAAGTTCTTTTTTATTAATCAAAACACCTGGCAGAATTGTTCAAACTTCCCGCTTGAGAGTTTTTTTAAAATTTAATTTATATTTTCTTCAAAGTATGGAATTGCAAACTTTAGAGGTTTTCTGCAGAAGTGAGGAAATTTCTACTACATTAAAATATATATGTATATGTATATACTTCGTAGCACCTAAAGCATCACCTTAAGATAAATGTCAGCTAAATATTGTTTGTCTAAATTGTTGTTAAAAACAAACAAACAAACAAACCTCCACAATTGGCCATTGACCCTCCCTTTTTGCCAAACATATATCACAACTGCTTCACAGGTACATTTTCAGACAACTACAGTACAGCATACTATCCAGCTTCTCACATACAAAAGGGAAGGGGAAAAGAAAAGCTAGTGGCCAAAATCATAATTTAAGAAAGTGAACAGCAAATTCTCTTTAAGACACAGGTTCACCTGAGTTATCTAACAATATCTAATAATATTCAGAGCTATGTTAAAAGTCTAAATTATCTTTCCAAACAGTTACAAAAGATATTCACACAAAAGGAAATTTTTAAAGGAACAGATGAGATAAATTAGATGAGGCATGCATAGTTATCAACTGATAAAAATAGAAGAGGAAAGTAATTAATAACAATATCTATATTAAATATTTACAATAGGATGCCATTATTCACATATAGTGGTACTTACATCCCTGTACAGCCAAATCTACATCCCAAACCAAAGTCAGATGTGAAAGAAAGCACAACAATGTCAGTGAGTACTAGGACGCAGAACAAGGAAAGTGTACATTTTGTTCTTAATAAAAGAAAGCTTTCAATAAATTTTTAGGCATAACATGCAATAGTTTCACATAGAGAAGCTGGGAAGTTGAGAGGGAGAAAGCTGTGCAATCCACTCACATCTATGTAGTTGGCATTAATGTAATCTGAAGATGGATCATCTTCAACAGGTTGCAAAATCACCCTGGAGTGGTCATCTGTAAAAACCAAGTGGTTACGGTGCCTTTTTGAAGTGTGATTTTTAAGGAAGATATTATGGTAAATCACAATTTATAACTCTTAAATAAGTGTTTACACAGAACTGTGAAGAACCGTTTCATCTGAGGTCTCCAATTACTTCAAAAACATTGACTAAACATCATTAAGTGTAGCTGAAAGGTATCACACTGTTACTCGTGGTTAAAACGACACAAAGAAACCAGGTTACTTGCTCTAAGTCCCTTTCAACATCAGCTCCACTGATGGTAATCTAGAAAACTGAAAAACCTGTTTCCTTACTTCCGACTCCAGCCTGCCTGAATTCATATAGAGACATTTAAAAAACAGGAAGTAACAACATAGAGATTAACAATATACTTGGATTCAATGAAGTGGTAACTCTACCCATTCAGGAGCTTCTCCGTAGCTTCATTCCTGTGTGTTCAATTGCATTTACAAAACAATAACAAATGTGAATAAACAGAATTAACATCCAAACGAATGCTACCTTGTTGCTGTTATATGCTTACCAGAGCTTGCACAACAGAGATGCAAATGAGAAATTCAGCCTGAGTTATAAAAGGAAGAAAGTTGAACTGTGAAGGACAAAAAAAACCCACCAATGCTGGAAAAGGCATTGTCTTCTTTCTCCACTTGGGGTATTAAGCAGCCTCATCACTGGAGACTTGTAAAGAAAGAGAGGACATGGCACGAGTAACACACGACTATCACTCAAACCAATCATGCCAATACTCACATGCTATAATGTTTCCATAGCGGTTCTTTGTTCTGTTTTGATCCTTCTTAGCGACATCCCAAGAAGCTGACTGCCCCTCAAAGAAACTCTATAAATAAAAATGTTCCGAAAGAAAACATTCTGACCATTAATTTATCTCAAAACCCCCTCAGTTTCAAAGAGCTGCCCTGCCATAAAGTAAGCTCAGCTTTCCTTGCCCGCTCTGGTCACCCAGGCAGTACCACGGTACAGGAATATATCTAGAGATGGGAGGCTCTCTCTCTCTCTGACTGTTACAGGTCAATGGGCAAGCCATTGAAGGACTCCAGAGGGATTTCAAATCCTGGAAATGCTGGAAGGCTAAACTTGCTCACACCTCCTTGTGATGGAGGAACAACAGTAAGCTCAGAAAGAACAGGGAGACTGATCACTCATCTTACAAGACACCATAATATATAGCCTGTTCACTACAGCATTACACTGTTTTCCTCATATTGCTTAGTAACACAACTTTTCTTCCTACATAGCCATCAGGAAGCCTCCTCTGCCAGTGTTCATTGTTCACGTTGTTTTTCCTCATAACCCTCCCTCTAGCCAGTAGCAAAATTATTCTACATTTTTGAACTCTTAAGAGTTTGATCTCTCAGTAGTGATAGAAGCGGCTTTTATTCCTCCTTGGCTTTTTCTTCATTGCCCGTAGGTATTTTACAGCTGTTGCAGGTCTATGCTATTCTTTCCTTCCAGATGTTCTCTCATCCTGATCTGGGTAATTTACCTCCAGAAAGTACACAGTAACCATGGAGACAAAACTTTAATGCACACTCCAATTCTCAAGCCGGGAAAAAGATGTCATGCATGATAACAGAAGAAGTAGCAAGTAGGAAAACACCTGATGTGGCATCAGGGACCACCCTCCCCCCCAGGAGTAGTTGACACTTGGGCTTAGCTATGAAGTTAGGCAGAGCATAACAAAGTGTATTTAAGTAAAAAGGAGGAAAAGAGAATAAAATTCTTTTAAAAACCACAGATTTATTTATTCCAGTTCTTATGTTACAGTAGAGAAAGCTGCAGAAAGGAGAGAAGGTTGAAAACTGAGTCAGAAGAGCTTACTTACTCAGAGAAAACTCATTTTAAACCTAGCTGTATTGCGAGCAACCCTGGCAGTACCATTCTAATCTTTACTGTGTGTCCTGCCTGATATTCTAATCCCAAAGAATCACAACAGATTCAGAGATCAGAAGTGAAATGAATCTGTACTTATTTTCTACCTCGAGTGCTGGGAATTTTTTGCTTCCATATTAACATTAAAGTTGTAAGTAGACATGCTCAGGCAGGTCTAATTAGAACTTCAAGATGTTAATACCCTCAGCATGTCTTTACTGCTTCTCAGCTGGAGTTTAGTCCCAGTACTGCCCTACTGAGATGCTATCATAAATCACGAGAGTGCTTCCAGTCAGTGCTTCTTGCAAAACCAGCCAGGTTAAATTTTTACTTTAAGCTAATTCAAGAGCTCTGCACTGAAGATGGCTCAGAAAGCTCACGTAACTAATTACAGCATTTCAACTAAAAAGTAGCAACAAAAGTGTGTTGAAAAGATTCAGCAAGGCATGACTTCTTATACCTTAAGGAATACACATAGCTTTTTTTCCAGTCAATTGTAAATGCTCAAACCATTCACTATTTCACTTTTGGGTTACATATACAGGAATCTTATGTCTGCTTAGTTTTATCTGCTTTTCACTTCAACCCACAGCATTTAGTTGCATCCTTCTGCAATGCAACGCAAAGAGAATTCAAAGGGATTTTTCCTAGCAGAAACCCATCACTGAAGATCTCACCTCATACTCCTCTTTAAATCCATAGCTGTCAGAGGTCTTCATTAGGTTAATATGCTGCAGGAGATCAGCCACCCTGATGGCAGGGTGCAGCTGCCCAGTCTGGTATGGGGATTCTGTGCCTTCACAGAGGTAGCGAGGGACATCCAGGAGACGGCTGGACTCCGCTGTCGCACTGTGATTTTCATCTGTATTCAGAAGAAATCAATGCATTAGGTACCCACTGAGCAGCACCTGCTGCTATACATATCAATATCTATTTTCAACCTCTTCTTTCAAAAACATGTCTAATTTCTAAGAATGCAAAGCACTTCCTCTCCAGCACATAAATCCTGTGAAATACATAAAGGAGTTTAACTGCAAACACATACAAAAGTTTGCAATCCCTCATCCCACAATAAAGATGTCTGAAGGCCATTTTACTTGAAGCTACAAAACTTTATGACATTAATGTACTTGAGAACTCCAGCCTCTATCACCCAAAGTAACTTTTTTAATGGCTAATATGTATCAACAGCAATACTACACCTTAATAAAATAGAATAACTGTAGTGGTATCAGCACATCATTTGTCTAAAGCCAACAAATAGTAAACTGAGATCTCAGTGAAAAAGGGAAGGAATTATACTACTGCCTCAGAAAACCACCTCCATGTGGGAAGGTGCATTAGCACTTCAGAGTAGTTATTTTAATTCAGGACTTTTAGAAGAGAAATTAAACCACTGAGTGCACTGATTTCAGCCACAATTTTTGCTCTGTATAGACAGTCTCCTTTAATGGTCTATGCTACATCAATCCTTTTATCAAAAACAAATATCAAAGCTGCATGAAATGATAGCATTTTATCAATCCCTTCTGTCATATTTTTGTTGTTGTTGTTCCTTTATATTTAAAAAAAAAATTGCAATCAGTAGTTCAAATGAATTTACAGAGAAAGATAAATTCTAATTGGAACCATCATGGAATGTAGCTACCAAAATGAGCATTGGGTAGCTGACCCCTCTTACACTTTTTTTAAATCAGTTTACCATTTTCCTTGCAAAGCATCCAGATTAGGAAATAAAACAGTCTAGTAGAAAATGAGCACCCCAGGGGTTGGATTTTCTATAATTCCACAAAAATGGAAACCCCATTAATGGCTCCTGAAGTAAGACCCCCTATTAAGAAACCTGCTTTTTTGAACTGTCACATAAGTTGCTAATTTCAGTACACTTATGCCTCACTAAACTGCCTAATAATGTGACATTCAGAAGTCACTTTTTATTGTGGTGGACCCATATTAAATCATACACGTTTCAAACCACTTCAGGACTTGCAGTTCTCCCTATTCCTTGCAGTATACTTACCAGTAATAGGCACTTTAACCCATTGAAGCAGCAAAAAACAATGAGTGAACAGAACATAAGAAATTTATTTCAGGACTATATTAGACAATTACTAAAAGAAAATGACATTAAAAGTTGTTAAAGCTTCACAATAGGCAACAATGAAAACCATTTTAAAAACATAAGGACCACATTATTATGCCATCACTGTAATGATAGGGACTTGAGAAAAGCAAAATTGTCATACTAACTTAGTGCTAATGTGAACAGAATGGAGAGTAGCATTAATAACCTATACATGACAAAAATAAACTTAGTACAGCTATGAAATTATAAGAACTTCAAATGAAATTAAATGTTCTATAATTTAGTGCCCATAAAATTTTGCTCATCTCTAAACAAAACAGAGGAAAACTGTTTTGTGATGCTGGGCCCAGCAAGGGCTATATGGAGACAAAATGAGACAAATGATCTAATTCCAAAGGAACAGGCTTAAAGGTACCAAATCCCTTCTGCATGGTGTGCCCAAAAGCTTGTCTACTTCTCTCTGCTATTTCAGTCTATGCAATGAAAAATATTACCTCTTCCAACTAGCACTGCTTTGCTCATACCAGGTTACTATCATGCCCAAAACACCATCACCAGTATATGGAAATGCAGGCAGGAAGTATTGAAATGTTCTTCAATTAATTCCTTGTCCTTGCTGTTCACAGCTGCCCATATCTGTGTCTGCCACAATGTAGTGGCAACACATTGACCTTTGGAATATGCTTATAGCCTAAATGAGCTAATAGGAATAGCTTGACAAGTATCACCAGATGATATCTATGTAGCCTTTAAGTGTCTGAAATAAAGCTAAAAGAGACAAGAAGATCTTAGGAGATTTTCAGGAAAAGACTAATTGTCTTTAAGTCCATTATCTAATATCAGTAAGTATTCAGAATTACTGAGTCAAATGCTTTTCTCTTTTGGGCAACAGTGCTACTTCACCTCCTCTCATAAACTTCTTAAACCAGCTAGTTAGGTCTCCTTGGGCCCAAAGTGGAAGGCTACAGCAACTAACTGCTCTGATGGTTATAAACTTTCTAAGACACTACTGTAGTCAAAACAATGGCATTTGCAACATTATCAGAAAGAAATGGGTAGAATATAACTTGGTAAATCTCCCAGACAGTGAGTATTCCCAGCTAGACAAAGACTACTCACAAATAGCAATTCGCTGTCTGTCTCAGAGGACACTTTACATGAAGATCTGCAAAGGCTCCTCCTAGGTGTAATTTCTATCAATATTTTTACCCACAACTTGTAAAATGACACAGAAAATACCATGACAGTAGGGGCAGAGGGCACTGAGTGGTAAGGTACCATAAGCACTTCACAAGTACAGGTTCAGATTTCAAAGTTATCTTGATTATTTGGGAGATAATGAAAAAAAAAGCCGACAAGGTGAATTAAAGAGTGAATGCTGTGTGTAGGAAAGGGAAGTCAAACAGATAACTACAACATGGAGTAATGGACTGGTAATGATAACTGGGATTTTAGCAGGTAACTCAATGCAAGTCAGCAACATGAGCACAATAAAAAGAACAAAATACTGTTGTGGTAGCAGGAACACTGCAAGTATGGTATGGGGGTACCTATTCCACTCAGCTCAGCACTGAGACTTCTTCTAAGAACTGTACCTGCTGATCTGGGGCACCACAATGTAATTAATAGAAAATTGAGCTTTGGGTTCCAAAAAATATTAATATGGATCTGAATTTATATTTAGGAGGAGTGAGGCACTGGAACATGACACCGCAAGAGCAGAATTGTCTTCAGTACAAATTTTTAACACACAATTAGACAATCAATTGCCAGAAAGAGTCTATGTTATACATATAATGTCCCACCTCAAAACAGAGGAAGGATTAAATTACCACCAGGTCCCTTTAAGGCTGACTTCTAGGAATCTAATTTTGAACTTCCGTTTATATTCATGTCCATTTCCTGATATTTGTCTTTCATCCTAAAATAACCTCAGCAACTGACTGAAGCTCAGTATTACATATTGTGTTTATTAAGCCAAGAACTCAGGTACAAATTATACATTTAACTTTGTATTTTTATAAGAAATGCTAAAACACGCATTCAGTGTCAGATGTGACATAGAAATAAGCAGCCTGGTCACTCCTGACATCTGTTCTTTTTAAAGGAAATACAAAGCTGAAAAACTTACTAGTTAAGGTCAATTGAAATATGTTAATTAATATAGGTATACAGGAATATTTGTACAGAAGCTACAAACAAATTTGTTGTTTCTTCTTGGTTATTACAAAATTTTTCCCCTTTTCTAATTTTCTTTTCATTCTTGTTGCTTAGTTAGAAAATCAAACTTCGGGTGCCAAATAATGCTAATATGTATCTGAATTTTATTTTTACACATCACTTAATGGAGATCTAGTTTCACACCTCAGTTCATTGGAACTCAGTTTGAATGCTCTGGGGAGAAAAGTTTTAGCATTCTCCATTTTCCTACTTCCTCATTTATTCTTCAGTTAGCACTGACTAGGAATAACTTCTTAATGAGAACACAAAATAATTTTTGTACTTAAAGTCGTGTCAGTTTAATTCTGACTTGATAAACATAGTATAGAGTTATTTTCTGACAACATCAGAGCTACCTTTTACATAGAACAAGCTGTTTCAACATTCAACCATGCAAGGAGATGAAACTCATGCAGGAATGGATAACGAAGGACTAGGGTCCTCACCTAACACAGCTGTCGGCACAAGTGGATCATTGGGCACTGTAGGAAAACAAAGCTCATGAAGAAATACATTACCCTAAATTTGTGTATTTTTAAGAACAAAAACAATATACTTCAGAGTATAACCAAGCATTAAATAAACCCCATTGACTTTGTCACAAGAGAAAACCAGCATGAATACACAGTTCCAGAAAGCATCCTGAATAAAAGAGGAATGAAAGGCAGTGATTTTGGACTTCAGAAATGTAATGATAAAGGCAAAGAGATTCTCACTGAAATGAAATAAAGAAGACATTATATGCAATTTAGTTTTTGAAAAGTCTCCTTCTTCACTATTGTTCCTTTGCTTCACAATAAAGGTTCACTTTCATACAATCAACTCCATGCCTTTTAAACTCATCCTCTCATATACTACTTGAATAACTGATCTCAAAATAAAATGGTATTTCTTTAAAGTCTCCCAGGTAATTTAAAAAAAAAGAAAAAAAAACCAAAACAAACGTTTACAGCTAATAGATTTCTTTAGGTGCAATGCCAAAGATATTGCTCTTAAGGAGTATAGGAAAAATCACAGATACACAGATACAGATGTTTGAATAAAATTCATAGAATTCTATAATTTATTATCATAACTAGAACTGTACAGAGACAAATGCGCCGTCTTGAACAGAAATGGCAGAACATAGAATTTGGTTTTGTTCCAATCTGTAACAAAAATTAAAAAAAAATCAACAGCTCTCTGAGAAAACTGAACTCCAGTTCCCAAGTAACCTTCCTAGAAGTTTGTCGCATAGCAGGAAAACCCAGAAGCTTGGAAGGTTCTTTGCCTCAGCACAGATGATGGTCAGGAAAACTGAATCCTCCAATACTCAAAAAATCACATACCTATGATGCTAGAAAACAGTGATGTCAAGCTTCTTTGCCAATCAACCAGGGCAGCTGTGGTGGCTGGGGTTCATGGGCTTTGGGCATCACATTAGTCTACCTGGAAGGCTGCCCAAATGCCTGGCAGCCTCATCTCTCTAACAGCCATGTAGGCTCCTGATGGATACTTTGCCTGGGATCCACCAGATCTTACTCCAAATGAAACTGTTTTGCAAACCTGCCTCCACAAATTTCAGTGCCAATAAGACATCAAACTTTGGAGGATTTTCAAAAAATTCCAGACAAAAATGCATAGGAAAACTCACAGGCTGACACTAAATTCCCATTTATAATTGGTTATGAGACATATAAAATGTTAGTGCTCTGCAGTTTGGTAAGCTTCAATATACTGCGCATTAAACCCTCTTCCAAAATTCATCTCCCTTACAACAATCAGGAAAGAACTTAAGAGCCTTAGATGATGTATTTTGCTCAAGCATGATAAGCAGTATGGGAGGCAAGAGAAGGGAGATGGAGTGCCATTCCCAAAAAATGGCAATTCAGAAGCAGCTCAGACTGCTCAGGTCTGTTTAAAGCCAAGCCAGAAGTCTATGTGGCATCATGGGACAATTGTGTCCCTTCAGTAACTTACACACTAGTTTTGAGGTACTCAGAGTTTGTCAACAGAGTATCTTGCTTTTATGTAAGGCATAGTGCAGATGCTGGGAGGCAGAGGTGCTGGACAGTAGTAGCCATTACCCAGACACTTAACATACAAAAACCCAAACTACCAAACTGTCAAACCCAGACAGTTGGCAAGTGTACAAAAAAGGAACACAAATATAGAGCAAATTTGCAGATATATTAACAAGCTTGTCCCTAAAATTCACAAAGAGCAATAAAAATTGTTGGCTTCCTTCTGTTATAACATCCTTGCTGCCAAAAGAAAGAAATTAATTTGGACCTCATATTATTATTACCAATTACAGACATGGTGTAACACAATAATATTTAACATGTTGGTATTAAATATCCTCATGAGGGAAAACTCAATTTCAGATTTTAACTGAGATATTCTAGAAGTCTAATATTTTCCCTAGAACAAGCATCAACTCATACTGAAAGTACATGCAAATATTTAAATAATCAGCCACACACCAATAAGGATAATACAAGAACATTACTACTCAACCTTTGGGTTTATCAATGCTACTAGAAAACCTGGAACTCACAACAATTTTCCTTAGAAAGCAGATTTTTCTCCTTGTTTCCATTTTCACCTACACTCTAGAGTATCTATCTATCACTGTTGTACTTACATCTGGGGCTGAAGTTATGAGAGTCCATAAATGTGATTGAAAGGGGATCCTCTGCATGCAGGGTGCTCTGGTCAGCATAACTCCTGTCCATCGCATTCACCATGTGCGTCATCTCCTGGCGAGTGGTCCCCATGGCGTCCTTGCGTTTCTTCGCAAGTTTGCTGCCCAGCCAAAAAAAAAAACCCAAGCCACCTTAATATTTGATTAACATCGACGTCTACAGTAATCATTATCCACAACTCTGAGCAACTGAAAAGTTTGGATAGTTTTCCTTTGTACAACTTCCCTTGCATGAATTGACAAAACTACACACCCTGCTATGAGAAAGTCATGACCGTGTGTTCTGCGCACACACACAAATGTTGTAAAGGAAGTGCTAACTTCTGTACCCTGGTAATACTTCTTTTTTTTTTCCTGCAGAGTAATTACACTAATATAAACAAATTAGAGAATATAATTACATTTTAACTGAAATGATAAATAAGAAGCATCTGTGCATGTGGCTTTATCAACCATCTCCATTTAAATCTGTGTTTTGATTTTATAAATGGATAATTCATTCCCCTTGCTTGCCTTGTTAGGAAGAAATCATTTAACCTTCTAAATTACTTCATTAGTCAAAAAAACTTTCATAAAATAATGAAACAAATATAATTGTTCAATATGGATTCATATTACCTTTCATGTTAAAAGTTGTTCTTCCCATTCAGTACATAAAATAGACCATGACACCACACTTTGTTCCTGATACTGAACTGTGGTTCTTTAAAATGTAAATAAAACACCCTTCACCACACTACCCTTTCATGCAGTTTGGGAACATCTTAAATTTTGACATTAACAGTCTCACACTCTGAACGTATCACAGTTAAACAGGAACCTAATCTGTACAACCAGCCCCCCTGAATTAACAGCCAATGCCCTTGAAGTGCACACTTCAGAAATATCTCTCAATTCTTTCCATTTGATAAAGAACTGCAGGTAATTTTCACTGTCTCCAGAAGTCAGATGGAAGCAGATAATATATTTTAATTATAATTTAAAGCCTACTACTCTTAAAGCATATATCAAGCAGCAGGAAGTAAGCAGAACAGCACAAAGTGCACCTTCGTTCTGAAGGAACCTGTAACAAACATTAGACTGTTCTGAAATCTCTCTGTTTTAATCTGAAGTAGTGACTACAATATAATAGATAGCCAAGCTGCTTATTTGGAGAAATCTGACACAACATAGGAAAGACATAATCATCACTGAAAATACTGCCTTCTTGAAAACGTACGTTCAAAACAAAGCTTAGCTTCACAAGCTTTTTTTCTCCATAAGATATCACCAAATATTCTGTTAACTATTTAGACAGTATTTATCTTACATTTCTCTGACTAGAAGGACTGCCTGCTCTTCCTCTATTCTCCCATGACTTTTAATATTCTCTGCTGCACTCTAACAGTGGACAAAAAGAATACTAGTGTAAATTATCCATCCATTTACTTGTTAGGTTCTGGAAACATCCACCAGGAAGGATCTATACCACTGACTAAGGGAGGAAGCCCTTAACGGTTTTGCATATTTAAGAAAATGTTGTAAGATTGTTTATTAAGTTAATAGTCTTTGTTAACAATATAGGGGCACAAAGTAGCATACAGATGGACAAAGCACTCCTAAGCATAGCAAAGGTTCTTCCATTGATCAGACTTGCTTCCTTGTTTTGTTCCACCCTCCTTCTTTTCCCCATTTACAGATAGACTGGTTGGAATATTGCTGCCTCCTTGCTACAAAAATCCCAAAGGCGATCCCTTTAAACCTCTAACTTTTCATAAAACTGTTGTGGCATACATGAGGGTTCTGTGTGTATCAGTTGTCCAGTGATAATTAAAAAAACAGTGACAGTTGAATGTTCTCACTGAAATGCTTTATTCTGAACATTTACTCCTCACATTCCTATTTACTTAAGAAAAGCTGGTTTTAATGATACTCTGGTCAATCAAGTGAAGACCATGAGAACTTCCAGAAGTCAAACTCTTTGAGCTTTATAACTGGTTCCCAATATTATAAAAGCTTTTGCAAAACTACCATTCCTAATTCAGACTGTTTTTTTCAGTTTCAAAGTTTTCCAGATAATCTCCATACACTGTAGATCACATTTTTCACCTCAGAAATGGAACAAAAAGACTATTATATCTCATCTCTCAACTATATTAAGCTCTTCTTTGAAGTATCACTTTATAACAAAACTTGCTAGCTATACTAAATAAATCAACAGCTATTAAGGCTTTCAAGTTATTAGCTTATTACAGCAGAAGCTTTCAAATTCTTATGCTGTGCTTCAGCTCCTAAGAGAAGGTCTATTGTGTTGCAGCACTGCAACCCAAAGCTGCTGGGAAATGGGAGGACAGCTTCATTGTTCAGCAGCTCCAGGCTCCCTTGGGATTCGACATTCCAACTTCTTTCTCCTTTTCTTTTTTACCTTCCCTCACTCAGCTAAAGGCACATGCAATCTATGCTTCACAATAGTTAAGCAAATCACCAGGTTAAAGCACTTGAGGCTGACAGAAAGGGTAAATGATTCTCATTATCTGCTACAGGATCCAGTTGGGTGAACCTGCACAGGTGAGTGCTTCAGTGGGAGCTGGAGGGGAAAAGTGCTCCATCATAGGATGAAACTGTGCAGTTAATTGTCTTGAGCTGAAGCAATTGTTATTTAACAAGGAAATTATAATTTGTCACAATAAACTGGAGAATGGCAGTTAGCTAAGCCAGCTTAGTTTTTTTAAAAAAAAAATTAAGTTTGTTTAAAGAAGTGAACTAATCTGCTTAAAAATATGGAAAAGCATTACTATCAGACACCACCAATTCATCAAAGCTCTTGAGTGCATTCCTAGATCCCCTCTGAAGTCAAGGGCTTTCTTTATGCATTTATTTAAAACTAAGAATGTGTAACTGCTTTGCTCAGTCACAGCCAAAACTGCTGCAGCCCTCACAAAAACTCATTTGGTCAACATCTTTGAAAAAACAAGTCAATTTTGCTTCAATGAAGCAAAACTTTATGCAAACCAATGTCATAAAGTAAGATCCACACTTTAAAATGTGTATGCAAAGCACCTCACAAGCAACTAATGCAGACAACTTCACAGGAAGTATTTCTGTAAAAAAACCCAAAAAGGTTGGTACTACAGGGGCAGATGCATTGTGCTACCATGGGTAGGGCAGAGACCTATTTATAAAGGTTTGGCATTCGCCTGTGATTTTGTGTAGGAAAAGTGGTGCATGGGATTGCTGCTGATAACCGATAAGCTAAGAGAGAACAATTTGTGGTTTTCAAGCACGGTTTCTAGCTAGGAAATGGGAACAGGGATTTTTTCCTTAGTGTGATGTGTTGCTGTGAATCATAATGCAAATTAAATTATGATTACAATAAACTAAAATGATAGCTATGGGAAAAACTGTAGCAAAAAGCAAAAAGTCCCAATATACAGTTAGAAATACAATATCCCTTTTAAAAAAAACCACAGGGTAAGAGTTAACAGGAACAATGATACAAGTAATTTTTCAAGCCTGAGAATAAAAGTAGGTAACTATCAATAAAACTTTAGGAAAATTATAGAGACTGTTTTTCTTTTTTAAAAAGGGATACTGCATCTTTAAAACATGTAAAATAGTAAGTCACCCGTATTCTACTTACAGATAGTAGGAGTAAGAATAGTAGCTCCTCCTGGCAAGCAAATCACAGACAGTGGAAAAAGAGAAGCAATGGTGAATGAAAAGCGTGACTCTGTCACATTCAATAAAGCAGAGAAATGTGCGTTTAAAAAAAAAAAAAATTGAAAAAGTTATGTTTTTTTGGTTAGCATTTTGACTTGCTCATGCACAAACTAGCCTTACTTTGCCATGCAATTAAAAAAAAAAGTAGACTAGCATATAAGTGATTTGTTTTTTAGAAAGATCACTTGAGAAAATTACATGCTGAGATTTCATTTATTGCCAAAAAAAATTGAAAACTAAATGGATTGTTTATTTTCAACATGCAGTTCAGCATAATATGATTACCACCTATATGTCATGACAAATTAACAGCTGTGTACAAATCTTGTGCAGTAAATATGCTTTTTACTTTTCAGTTACAAAAACTAAAGGTTGCACTAATAAATACATTTAATCAGAAAACAAATTTCATGTCATTCATTTTAACATCTTTATCAGTACACAGGTGTATACGTATATGTATGCATACTACATGTAGCTATATGAGTACACACCTTTAAAAGAATTCACATTTACAACAGGGATGTGTGTACTGACATATATACCACACATTTCCCAAATGCAAACATATGCTTTCTGTTTCAAAATCTTACAGTTGGAAATGCTGATGTAGTCATGCTAAGCATTAAAAATATGGAAAGTAAACAAATGGAAGGAAATGAAGGACATTTGGAAATAGTCCAACAATGACTTCGAAAATAAAAATGGCATTGCTTGTTAAAGATGCAGTATCCCTTTTCTTAGCTGGTTTGATTACTTCAGTAAAACTCTGTAAGAGCTGTTAAAAGCTTCATTCGGGAAGACTTCAAACCAATTTGTACAAAATGATCAGGCAAAGCCTAAAACATCTCAAGCTCGTGAACAAAGCTGCTTAGTATTCTGTTTTTCAATAAAATGTAATGTTGCATTTAATCAGATTGTGATTTAATCAGATCAGATAGTGATGGCTGCGCATACAACTTAATAAACCAATGAAAATGCAGAAACCGTTGTTTTATTGACTTTTCCATGTAATAAGCTGTGGTCAATTCAGGTACCAAAAGGGATACTACATAATGGATTATAGAATATGTACACTACAGAAGATGATTCAAACAGATTGGATTTCAGTCCCACCACAACTAAGTGAAGTGTGTTTATGTGTGTGTGAATGTGTCAGGGTTTTTACAGCTGTTCCTGGCTTCATTATGTGGCTTGTCCTGATTCACTAGATGGCCTGAATTACTCAGGTATATATTTCTATGTTTTTTGTAAGAGATCTTGAGTAAAGCTGGTATTAAAAAAAAAAAACAACTGACCACTTTCCCTAAGCAGGGGGAGGGAATGGCACACCTATAACATACGTGATAGACAACCAGTTAAACTATCATGATGAAAAATTGCCAAACATTAAAGATTCATTAAACAAGTTAATTTCTCACCTATATTTTGAATATAAAATAGTACAGGAGTTCAGAAATGTTATGTGCTTTAGAATGATGTTCAAGTATCATTCCTAAGAGGGTACTGACTTCACAGGTTCAGAAAAGGGAAGGGGGAAAAGGGGAAATTTTAAAGTATCATTTCATGGACATGATTAACTTACTTTTATCAAACAATTCAACAGGGAAAGTACGAGTCTAAAAGGACTCTGAATGCAAGAGGTAAAAAGGATAGGAAAAATGAACACATTGAATTTTAAGCTTTTTTTTTTGTTCCCTGTAAAACTAGTCAATCCCATCTGCAAGTGACTGACAATATATACTGGTCGACAGTCTCTCTCTCACACACACACAGGCACGCACAGAGTCTTCTATTAAACATAAGGGGACCACTGCAACATGCACTGAGAAGATAATACTCCCCAGCACATACCTTGCAATACAGCTATAGAGACTTGTTTTTGAAAGCTGAAAAACAATTTTTTTTTTCCTGTCTTTCAAACATTGTGTAAATAAAGAAAATTGGCTGACTGTATGTCTTTTTTTTGCAGTTGATGAGTTGGACCTTTTGCATATGTGTTAATTCTCAACCACAGAGGTAAACAACAGAGAAAAGTAAAAGCACTTTTGGGAAAAATCACATATGTAGCTAACTAACACAGAACACTATAAGCATACCTAATGTTTCTAATGCAGACGTTTCTTCTCCAAGTTATATATCTCCAGGGATAATTGTAAAGAGGCAATAGATTAAAAAAATCTAATGCAAACCAGTAATTATAACATATAGAATGATCTTAGGTAAAATTGTTCTTTCTTAACAGTTAAAAATAATACCAAGCTGCATTTCAGAGGAACATTCACAACATTTACAAATACAGTTTTCATTAAGACTTCTGCAAAAGGCAAGGGAAGACAATGCACACACACCAGGGGAAGGCAAAGGTCTCATTCTACCCAAGAGAAATCAGCTTGTGCCTGGCAAAGGGAACCTGCCAAGGAGGGGGTGCACAGAGAGGAACTGGTTTCGATGCTAGAATTATGGATTTATAGAGCCATATTATGAACTGCTATGCCAAGTTAAGGGAGTTGCAACTACTGGGAAGTCTAGACTTTGGAAAACTGACAAAGCAATAGGAGAGCAGAATTTACTATAGGTAGGAGCACTTGGATGCGGACTTAGCATTGTACAGTGCCAGAAGATGGCGATATTGCTTACTGTCTAAGAAAGCACTGAAAAAAAACCTGAAATTCATTCAAATTAATACACTTTTAAACCATTTCATGCACTAAAGACTCACTAGATAATTTTACAGTGATGTGGTACGACTTGTAAGAAAAAACCTCCAGGTTTACAAGAGCATAAATAGAAGTATATTTTGCAAGTTGGATAAGATACAGATACAAATAACTCATTAGACCTGCGTAGAGAAAATCAAATTCATTATGTGATTACAACATGAAAAGTGCAGTAAGTCATTTTTTTTTAGTTTTGTTTTTTTTTTAAAGACTCAATGAATTTCAATTCCACCTTTTTTAATATTCTGTATATTCCTCCAACTGCAACTTAAAATTTTACTGCAACTTGGAAATAAATGAGAAAATTTATAGCTACTGAAACCCAAATATAAACTGAAATAATAGATATTTAGAATAATAGAATAATAATAGAAATTATCTCTTTATATCCATCATAAGAATTGCAGCAAAAACAACTCGAAATTCAAAAAAGAACTCACAGAGAACTCATAAAAAAACTGATGTGAGCTACTGGTCCTAAAACTTTTTTTTTTTTAAAGACCTGTAAAAAATACACCCATCTAGTTATTGCTTGATGTGGAAAAAAAAACAAGGGATCAACACAGATAATTTTCTTACCTTTTTTTGACAATCAATATGACAACAAGGAGTAGTAGGATGAATACCAGAATTCCTGCACTTATTCCTGCTATTTTCACCACTCGATCTGTTTGTTTGGCTGGATCTGGAATCACCTCAGGTTCCTCTGTTGCTGCTGCTAAATGAATCAAAAAAGAAGTTGCTTAAAGAAGAAGAAGTTGCTAGAGACAAGAAAATGATCCTTGGGGGATAATTCCCAAATATGACTGCATTTTAATACAGTAGCCACATGATAGATACAGGCATCATGTGTTTATACATATACATGTGTATATACAGATACACTATAATTTTCAATCTATATGCCATACATTTTCAACACCAAATATATGATGATGTATGTGTGTATACAGGAGTATATATGCATACGAAATTTCATGTACAAAGGAAGTGTCTGTGCATCTGGATTTCCAACTAAGTTACTGTATTACAAAGTAGAAAACACAGCAGAGACAATCTATCAAGCAAATAACCTTCTTTTAATGTTATTTTTTCAAATATGAAATATAGAATATTTAATGTTGACTAATGAGATTAGGTTAACTCACAAAGAGTATATCAACTTCTCTTATTCCAAGCTGCAGCCAGCACCCTGAACTCTAAACCTTCTCTCCTTCATCCAATATCAGTCCACCTTTGTTTACCAATTCACCTTACAGCATCTGGCTGGAGATCTGCATTCTAAGGGGAATTTTGATTCTACAAATAAGGTCACTCACAAAGCCAAGCCTAAAGTCAGCAGTAGTTTTATTTCTGTTTATAAGCCCTGAAAAAAAATTATAAAAAATCACTGCTCTACACAGAGATGCAACCACTCTGTAACACAGCTGAGTGGGCCAAGGCCACAGGTCACAGAAGAGAGGAAAACAGAGTATACATGAAAGCTCACAGCTATTCAGTCTGCACCTTTCTGCATCACAGCCTGGCATACAAAGGATCAGGAACATGAGTTTTCCAGCCTGGTAAAAATATAAATAGGTTTCAGCCAGGGCAAAATCCCATGAGGTGTTTACTTGTAAAATAGGAAATGGCTCTTCAGTTCTCTAGTTCTTACTTGCTGAGGCTGTGTCTTAGCACTTTGCCTTTCCCCTGCTCACAGGCATGGATGGGTAGGTGTGCTTGCTCTCTCTCTCTGACCCTTCTTCACTCACACATACAACAGAGGCCACTTAACCTCTCCTCCCTCACAGCAGCTGCATGCAGAGTAGTTACGAGATATGGGTACCATCATGTCATTACACAGAAAATGTCCTTTATTCTGAAACTAGGGTGTTTCACATCAGACACACCAGAGTATGACTAATGTTTGCTTGAAAATCTGCTCCATAAGCCCTTCAGAAAGCCAGTGTAGCCAGAACCAGGGATAACTGGTATTTAATACTTTCTGGTTTTAACCATATTACTCGGACTGTCTCTACTGGGGTTCCATGTGCAGGAACCCACATTATCTTTTGAAGGAAGGATTATGGTGTTGCTTAAAAACACTCTTTATTATTTATTTCTATAACCTCCATCTCAGCAATATCTGAAGTGCTAACAACTTATCCTCAGAAAAACCTTCTGAGTTAGGGACGTGCTCTCTTCCAGACACCCATGCGAGAGCTAGGCCAACAGTGAGAGATCTGGCAGTGCTTTAATCATAAAACTTAATCATCATCATAAGACTTCATCATCATAATCACCTCTCTCCACCACAGCTTGAACTTTATCTCAAAAATACTAAATGCTTCCTCCTTTGTGTAAATATATGCCTGGCACGCACACTTGCATATATAACCTGTGTGGACTCAATACTATGTATTTTGTTTGCTTCATGAGTGTTGTTGAGGTGTCTAGGGGTAAGAGTCAGGATCAGGTAAGTGGTGTGTGCATGTGCAGCTGCATGCACAGAACAGATACACACAAGGTAGAATCAATGCCAGATACACACACAATGCTGTCTACCAGAAGAAACGAGAAAGATGACTTTTAAGGTAGAAGTGGAAGAAGGTGCTTGATATTCTCCATGTTTAAAATGAATCAGCTGCCAGTCTGCTATTATCTAGGCTGGATGTGACAAATACAAATGAACATTTGATAAGCTGTAGAGCCAAAAGGCCAATCAGTAGAGTCAAAAGACCAAGCAAAGCTATAATATAAATACTTTTATATGTCAATGGGAAAAAACTTCATGTTTGCTCTGTGGGATATTGAGCAAAGGACAAACAAGGACATGGGAAAGGTCGAGAGAGGATCATGCAGGAGTGGGATAGTGGCTGTGTCTGGAACCATCATGAGCACAATGCAAGCACAGCTGGGTAGCTCTGACCTAGCAAAGGTAAGAACTCTTCAAGCTGTAAAAGAACTAAGCCTTGAGCAAGAGGTTTAGTCATGTGGATGGAAATTTAAGGCTAGGTCTTTGAGAGATTTCAAAATACGAATCAAAAGGATTGGATGTGACATGAAGACGCACTACAAAAATTGAAGGCTTAAAAATACATCCAAAAGTGCAGGCCTTGAGCTTTGATCAGGACTGTGGCATTTTCACAGTATTAGTGAGAGATGAGAGAGTAGAGGGGAAAGAATGAGAGAATTGTCTCACACTTCCCTGGAGAATAAGACCCTTGTTGCTTGACAGAGCAAGCTGCAATATAGGTGCTTCTCAAAGTCATGTTTAAAATTATTGCTTGGCTACTCACAATGTTATTTCACTCAGAAAAACTACCTCAGAGAAACAATTATGCACTTTTGTAATACTTTCCATATAGAAGGCTCAACCACTGGTTATACATTTTCTTAGTCTGTGATTCTGCAAAGAAGAACATATATAGTTTGCATTACACTTACTGCAGGGGTGTTGGACTTGATGACCTTTTGAGGTCCCTTCCAGCTCAAAACATTCTATAATTCTATGATTCTCAGAAAATCTGAAGGAAGGAGGTTATTTATTCGCCTAACTTAGGCACTAGTGTTTTACTATATATTCTGGAAGACATGACTGAGTTTGGATCATCAGTAACTGTTCAAAATGCAGCTCTCTGTCCAAGTTTTCAGAACAACAGTGGAAAGCCAGAAGAATATCAACTGCTTGTCTGTTCATTCTGGTTTCCTTACACTAAGGGGTTTGAAGTAAGAGAGAGCACCTCTTTCCATGAACTTTAATGCTGCTGATGAAATAAAGTTGGTGCCCACTAGAAATGTACCACAGAGTCCTAAATTAGTGGTGAAAAAGTTATACCTTACAGTCACAGAATAAGGAAATGTAAAACCAGTGGTTGAGCCTCCTATATGCAAAATGGTAAAATCTACAGGCAAACCCCTCTCTCCAGCATCGACAGAAAAGATGCTTTTGACTGAAATGAAGCCAGCAGAATTATACGTATGTTTCCAGCAACAGATAAAATATGCATTCTTTTGATTAAATGTTACATTTGGGGAGTATATGAAAGCAATTATAGACATAAATCACACGGTAATCTATTATATATGTGTATGTGCATTGTATGCAATAACGTATATTACTTTGAAGAAGTAATTGAATACAGCATAAACTTATTTAATGAAACTTATGCATTTGAAAGTATTTCATATTACTTAATTTTCAATTTTGATAGTTCAAAGTGTATTGTAATAACCATGTGTGAGCTTACATGTACACACCCAAAGGACAAAACCACAGAAACCTTGTACTGATGTGCTAAACTGTATGTATAAGCCAGTGTCTCCTGGCTGCTGATTGCACCAGACAACACGAACAAGAGAAATTCTGCTTATTCTGAGAATTTGCTTTCTCTAACCTCTAGACTACAAGTTGGTTAGTATTTTTCTTCCTCTGAAGTGGCTTTTCTATACACTGAACCGATGGGTTTGCCAAACAAAGCAACTCAACTAACCAAGGCTCACCAAGGGCAAACCTTGCCTAACCAACCTGGTGGCCTTCTGTGACGGAGTAACTACATTAGTGGACAAGGGAAGAGCTAAGGATGTCATCTGTTTTGACTTCTGTAAGCCTTGGACAGGGTCCCCCACGACATCCTCCTCTCTAAACTGAAGACATACAGTAGCTAAAAATTGATTTTGGTAATTGAGTTAACTAATGTATATTTCTAAACAAGGTAAAAATGGTCTAAAATTTTTTCAGTTAAAAACCCACCTGCTTTACTAATTCCTAACATTCTTTTTCAGTAACCTACTCCTGCAAGTCTTTCCTATATCTTGAACAGTACACTGTATTAAAAGGGAATTTATTGATTTTTAAAAAGAATCTTACGTGGTAACAGAATGACTATCATATGAAAATGGACTCTTTATTGGCTATTAATTCCTTTGGCCAATCTTATTCTAATAGACCTTCAATTAAGTGTTAATTTTTGCAACATCCTTGCACATTATGACACTTTTCACAATTTGACCCTGTAAGTCTATGAAGAGATAAGTCTATAATTTTCAACCAGTGCAAAATCATCTTGCATAAGATCTGCAGAAAGAGTTTCTGATCTAAAACAAAGAGGTAACTACATTTCCCCCCCAAAAAAAACAATATCTGCCTACATTGAGGATTTATCTAGACCAGGAGGAAAACACTGGATTTAGCAACTTACCCACTTGCCTTTCATTTGAAGTAACAAATAGCAAGTAACAGCAATCATATTCCACAGTCCCATTCACTAAGTTCATAAAACAACTCAATCCAGTAATTCTGGCTCTGCACATTGCCACTAACAGTCACCATAAAAGTTGTTTTCATAGATACTTGAGGGCAATACTCAATCAGTTGACTTCCATGATCAGTAGCATGAAAATCAACTGTGAACAGCATTAAATTACATTAGGATTGATAACACTCAGGAATAGTAAAAATCTAAGCAGTTGGTGAGGCAGAGTCCATCTTATTCTCACAATTTCCTGATGTACTTATTTCGTCTAATTTTTTAAATCATGTTTTTGATCAAATACACCTAAAAATCTAACACCCACTTCTAAATTTGAGTCTGTGCACTATATGCATAGTTAATTCTTAAACTACACCACGGCATAAAGAATCCAGTCACAGCACATATTGCTTTCTTGTCTTATCTTTCCTGCTGTGGTTCAAAATTTACACATAGCCTTGCAAAATTGTCAGAGAATTTATGACAC